CAACTACGTTCTCTCTCTACAGAACTCACATTTTCTAAACTCAACCAAGAAAACATTTTGGATTTTCCGCATATATAGAAAAAATTTGAGTCGAAACATGCTGCGACTTTCAGAAAAAATGCCGGAACTTCTGATTTTTGCCAGCTCCATGAATGTGAGTCTAAAAATTGATATTTTCAGTCAACTGCGTTCGTGTCTTAAAAATATCGTCTCTTCCAAACAAAAGGAAGGAAGGAAGGAGGTAGGTAAAATTTGACTATAACGATGCTGAAAACGATATTAAAATCGACAGGAATTCTTATTTTTTGAAGCTTAGTAGATGTTAGTCTTGTAATGGATGTTTTGATCAAACTGCACCCTTTTGCAAACTATTATAAGACACACGTTGAAATTTTTACCATCTTTAGAAGACTTTTATATTTCGTAAAAAAATCAGGATTTTTCAACTTGATATATCCAAGTCTCAAATTTTTAGCCTTCAGGCTGCTACGCTCTCCCTGTAAAAAATCATAGTTTTCAACTTAAAGCAAGAAGCAATTTCGACTTTTTACCATCTCTAGAAGAGATTGGAGTCCCAACGTGCGGAGATTTTCACAAAAATTAAGTTTTCAAAATCCTGCTTTTGACAGCTTGATGAATGTGAGTTTAAAAATTTATGTTTTCAGTCAACTGCGATATTGTTTTAAAAAGATCGTATTTTCCAAACAAAAGCAAAGAAGAAGTTTAAATTTTAACCATCTGTAGCTCACGTTTGGCGCTAAAGAAGTTGAAGATGTATTGAAAAAGTTTCATCAAAATCGACCACAATCCTGATTTTTCCATGCTTAATAAAAGTTGGAATATTGGTGGCTCTTCTAATAGACGTTTGACCGTTTTCTTAAAAAATTGATATCTTCCAAAATAAAATAAAGAACATGTTGAAATTTTCACCGTCTTGAGAAGAGTTGGGACTACATTTACTGAAGGTCTCGATAAATCGCGAAAAAAATTAGAATATTTGCCAGCTTAATAAATCGGAGTCTCAAATTTTAATGTTTCAGTCAACGCCCTCCCTTTTAAAAAAATTATATTTTCCAACTTACAACTAGACGCAATTAAAACGTTTTACCATTTACATGACATGTATTTCTAAACGTTCAGAGACTCTTAGAGAAATTTAACAAAATTCGGAAATTTGCCAGCTTGATCCTTGAGTGTGAGTGTAAAAAAAACATTTTTTCAGTCAACTGCGATGTTATCTTAACAGGCTCGAATCCTCCAAAGAAAGTCAAGGAAGAAGTTGAAATGTTCAGAATCAGTAGCAGACATTTGGCTCTAAATACGCTTAAAGTTTCTTCAAAATCATCATGAATGTTAATTTTTACAAAAGTCTTAGTCTCTCAATGAATGCTCATAGACCCAACTGTGCCGCCTTCTTAAAAGCATTTGTGTCTTCCAAACTCACGCCCAATAAACTGCATGCTTTTCATTCATCCCAACAAAAAATGGTAAAGATTATTATTTTATTTTGGATTTTAAGAAGAAAATCTCAGGAAAGTTATGCAGTGATAGTGGCTATGGTTAGAGTTTATGCTTTAAGTCGACAGCGTTCTTGTGTTTAAAAAAATCGTGTCTTGGAAACTAATTCAAGGAGGGCTCTGCAATTTTTACGATCGTGAGACGACGCTTGATCCTAAGCACGAGAAAAGTTTCAAATCAATTTCCGAGAACAAGAATGTTTGCCAGCTTGATAAAATTGAGTCTTGACAAAATTAAAGGCTAACGTCAACTACGCTCTCTCTCTACAAAACTCGCGTTTTCTAAACTGAACCAAGAAAACATTTTAGATTTTCAGTATACTTAGAAAACATTTGCGTCCAAACATGCTGTGACTTTCATAAAAAATTTTAAAAATTCTTATCCTTCCCAGCTCCATTAATGTAAGTCTAAAAATTGATGTTTTCAGTCAACTGCGTTTGTATCTTAAAAATATTGTCCTTTCTAAACAAAAGGAAAGAAGTAGTTGAAATTTTCACAATATGTAACAGACATTTGACTCGAACGAGGCTGAGAACGTTATTAAAATCGGCAAGAATCCTTGTTTTTGGAAGCTTAGTAGATTAGTCAGTCTTGTAATGGATGTTTTGACCAAACTGCACCCTTTTCTGAAAAAAATCGTGTATTTGAAACTAAATTACGAGAGAGAGAGAGAGAGAAATTTTGACCACGATTAGAAGACTTTTGACTCTGCATTTGCTGAAATATCATTAGAAAACAGGATTTTTGCCAACTTGACATATCGTAGCCTCTAATGTTTAGCCTGCTGTCTGCTACGCCCTCCCTTAAAAAACATACTTTCCAACTTAAAGCTAGACGCAACTTAAACTTTTCACGATCTATAGGCTACATTCGCTTCTAAACGTGCAGACACTTCAAGAGAAATTTATTAAAGTTTAGATTTTTGCCAGCTTGCATGCCAGCAGATTTTTGACAACTGCGTCCTTATCTTAGCAGGCTCGAATCTTCCAAAGAAAATCGAGGAAGAAGTTGAAATGTTCACAATCTGTAGCATACATTTGGTTACAAATACGGCGAAAGCCTCATCAAAATCCACATGTTGATTTTTACAAGCGTCGTAGTCTCTCAATGGATACTGAAAATTGTATTTTCCAGCAAAATACAACCAACAAAGAGAACTTTGAATTTTTTGCCATCTTCAGAAGACACGTAACTTTATATCTGCTGATAGTAAACTTGGTTATAAAAGAGTTACTTTTTATATAATCTTCGTCAAAATCATCACCTCCATCATGACTCCAAACTGCATGAGATTTTCCGCTGGCAATTTTCGATTTTTCATAAACTTTAATTTAAGTTTGTTATTGTGCAAACCAAGTAGAAGCTCAATATGTCAAGTATAATCAAAGGCCCTGTTCGCTTCCAAACCAGGTTAACCTGCTGGCAATTTAGCGGCTGATTCTTGATTGACAGCGGTTTCGAGCAGATCCAATTTGCAGCTGACCTCAATTTTTATCCGGATTAATTATTACTGCAGCTCAAAGCCACATTAATCGACCAATAACTGAAAGTTTTTCGGTGGCAATTTCAATAATTTCAAATTTTTATCCTCACGTCGTCTTATTCAGTATAATAAAACGGGGCAGAATGGCTGTAAAAGTATCCGCTGTAAAACGTCGACGTTTCCTCAAATATTGCAATTCGTTCTTAATGATAAATAAATTTAGCCATTAAAACTTCCCGAGCGGATTAACGAAATCTTGAAAATTAAACCGCGGTATTTCAGTTGAAGAATTTTATTTTTAAGTACCGCCAATTCTAACTTATAACGGTTTCTCATTAAGGGCTCGTTATTTTGGAAGTTTGTGACGCCAGGCAAATTTGGTTGCCGTCCCTTTATTACGCCACTTTATCTCAATTTTTCCTAGTGCAAACACATCCAATTTGTAACTGGAATATACATAAGTTAAACGCCGATCTAATTTGCAGTAGATGAAATTTTGCATTTAGCTTAACGGCAAGTGGCTGTGAAGATTTCTTTTTATTGACGCTGTTGAGGACTGTTCGAGTTTCGAAGCATCGGATAAAGACTTGAAATGGGGGTTATGCAAAGAACTCACAACATGAGCCACAGATAACTGAATATTCTTTTGACTTTTGCTACTGTTTACACGTTTAAACTGGGCAAATATGATTAACAGAAAGGATGGAAACAAATACTTACATATCAGTGAGTTCGCACAGAACATGCGTTTTATGCAAAACTCATAACATCAGTTTGGGATGTTTACAAGATTGCGTCGATCTTGTGTGGCAGGTTGAAGTTTTAAAAAAAGTTTATAGTTGATCAAACGGCAAGGAATAATTCCTTCTTTAAATCATTATTGTTACAAATTTATTGAAAGAAAATTTGCAAGAGACATTGCATTTTCTCAGAAATTTATTTGTTTAAAAAAAATCTTCAAGAAAAACTTGGTTCATGTTCCACATTGTAATTAGATTTTAAGTCTTGACGAGCACAATAAATGTGATTTTTTATGAAAGAAATACGCGCATAATTCAATTTCAGCATTTTCAAAACCTCAAAGAGAACATTTTGTACGATGCGAAATTAATGTGGTCAGTTTGTGTGCCCCATTCCTGCACAAGCGAGGACGTTTTGAGGCACTTTAATAAATCAATTTTCGACGCAACCGAAGGCCTCAATCTCACTTTGTCCCTATCGAAAGAACATTGCGTTTCCGTGGACGATTTGCCCGAATTCACCAAAGGCGATTATATTTACGTGTAAGTTTTCCGGTACAACTGGTTTTTTTAATTAAACTTCGTGTGGTATTTTCAGATGTTCCGCAGGATTGATTATTTTCGCTGTGCTGATCAGCACATCAATTGATATTATGAGTGAAGGTACATGAATTCAATGAAACGAAAATGGACAGTTTCGAGTGGTTTTCTTGGCATGTTTCCAGACGAACCGCCCACATTCGCCAGCTTGTTTTCTCTAAAAAGGAACTGGATTATTCTATTTTCCACGAAAAGGAACAAAAATGACATCACTTGTTTGCACGGAATCCGCTTCCTAACAATGTTCTCTGTAGTGTATGGGCATCGATTCGTCCATAATTTGGCCACTCCTGTTATAAACTACATGGATCTCATCGATGTGAGTAGGGCACAAGTTTCCGTCCTTCAGACAGAAAGACTAATAATCAATGGAAATTGAGCAAAAACCAATGGAACCAGTTTTGGCAAACGGATTTTCATTTATAAAACACACAATCGGGAACGCAGTTGCACCGCTGACCACAACTGGAGCATTGCTGATCGGGCGCTTACATCTGTCTGTAGCTGACGGGGTGCAATCAAAGCCAAATAATATTTATGTGGCCATCTGCGGCGTCAAATGCCCGGAAATAAAACTTCCTATTTGAGAGGAAATGTAAATGCTTGCACTTTAAAGTCGAGGAATCGATTCCGGTTAAGACAATATTTATTTTCTCTTGCGGCTTTAGTGGCTGGAGTCGTTCAGCAGCACCACCATCCATGGCGGAACCATGACGGTGGACACTTTCTTGGCTGTTGCCTCCATTCTAGTCAGCTACTCCTTTTTTGGGATGGCGAGCAAAGGAGTGAAACTCAACATTCCGCTCTTTTACCTCAACAGGCATTTGCGACTGTTGGTGCCGCTCGGATTTGCTGTTGGGGCGTATATCACTGTGACGAAACATTTAGGGGGTGGGCCCTTGTATCGCGACTTAGTCCACGCCTACAATATGAGCTGCAAAACCTTCTGGTGGAGCACCGTGTTTTACATTCAGGCCTTCATCAATCCCAGACTGATGGTGAGTTAAGGGACTGCAGTAGAATGACTAGGAGAAGCTAAATTTTGGCTTCCACCGTTTGACAGTGCGTGGTGCAAACCTGGTTCTTAGGAGTGGACATGTTTTGGTACTACTTTGCCCCCTTTCTGCTGCTGGCCATATCGAAAAATCAACTTTCTGGCTACTTGCTTCTATTTACCATCTACTCCTGTTGCACCGCTTTCAACTTCTACATCGCTTGGGATCATCACTTCAACGGCCAGATGCCCGTTTCGTAAGTACAAAGACTTTTCCAAGATGCTCAGACTCTGGAACAGAACGTTTTCAGGCCCATTTTACTGTCAACCGACTATTTCGCTTATCATTACGTCCATCCGGTAGTGAGAGGAGGCCCATACATGCTCGGCCTGGCTTTCGGCCATATCTTATTCAAATCCAAGGAAAATAAAGTGGCAATATCCAGATTAACCAACTGCATTTGCTGGAGTCTGGTTGCCGTTTGTATGCCCTACACAATGTTAATTAGTCGCTCATTTCGCTTGGAGAATTTCGAATATAACCGATTATTTGCTTCGCTGTTTCTGGCTTTTCATCGGACCGTCTGGACGTTGTGCTTATTGTGGATCATTTGGAGTTGCCAGAATGGACATGGTGGTAAGCACTAGTGGATAGTAAGGATTTGTTTCATGTTTGTCGTAAATTTATACAGTTTTAATTAAGTTATGAAGATTTTGATTAAAGGAAGCAGTGGAAACAGATTGAAAAGAT